TGTCATGTATGTCAGCTACCTTCATAGGGTCTACTTTATCAAAAGGCCATTGAAAATTATTTGTTGTCATCTCCTTAATCAAAGAATAGGTCTCATCAAAGGGTTTCGACATAAGGCTGCATCAAAATCTATGATCGACCTAAGAGATCCTACTAATCCACTATAAGAAGTCTGAATTATTAACCAATCTGACAAAGCATGGTGGGGGCACTTCCTAAGGAGTTCCTTAAACCTTTCTCATACTTCATAAATAGATTCACCATTATGCTGACAAGAAGAGGTAATGTCGTTCCTATGATTTTCGAAGTTGGAAAGTACTTTGCTAAGAATTTATGGGTCATATTGTTCCATTTCCTAATTGATCCTGAGACTAATTAATTTAGCCACATTTTGGCTTTATCCCTCAAAGAGAAAGGAAAAGATTAAGCCTCGCGATGCTTTTGGAGATACCGTTGTAGCAAAATGTAGCATAAAATTCTTAAAAACTTGCTAAATGGATGTTAGAACCCTCAGAAGCTTTACCCCAAAACTGATTATTATACACCAATTGGATGATAACATGTTTCAGTTTGAAATTACTGGCTTCTACGATAGGGATGTGGATACTAAGATAGATTTCATCTACCGTAGGGTTGGCATAGTCTCTCAAATTTTCAGGCATGTCTTGATGTCAGGGACGTCTTGATTATTCTGAGGACTATTCACCATCTCACCAACAAGTTGTCGAAGTCCTTTTTGGCTTTGTAATTTTTTTTTAAAACAGTTATCTCGTGCTCATAGTTGTAAGATTCAAATCTTGAAGGTTCTGAACTACATTCACGTTAACTAGGTTTCACTAACAAGGTACCCCTATGCTAAAAAGAATAATACATAATTCAAACAAAAACAACGAAATCAAAATAAACCATGAAATCAAGAATAAGTAAACAATAAGTAATATGCATGAATTAAAAGCAAGATACAATGCAAGTACCCAATCAAACATGATGTTTTTGGATTTTTCAAGTAAAGACAGAAAAATAAAGGAACAGGGATAGTGAACACTACAATTTTTAAGTTTGAAACCTTAAAGTTCAACAAAAATTTTCCTAATTCAAATTCATTATCATTCCCAGGCAACGACATTAGAACCTTAACATGCACCAAGTGTTGCGAAGCACTAGCGGCTCACACAAGTACATGTGGTGCATTAGTAGTATTGTGGCTTGAGTCCAGTTGTCGATCATACATGGAACAAGATGAATTCTACAGAAAAGTTCTATCCTACATATACATTAACTAGGTTCCACTAACAAGGTACCCCTATGCTAAAGAGAATAATAGATAATTCAAACAAAAGCAACAAAAGCAAAATTAACTATGAAATCAAGAACAAGTAAACAATAAGTAACATGCATGAATTAAAAGCAAGATACAACGCAAGTACCTGATCAAACTTGATATTTTTGGATTTTTCAAGTAAAGACAAAAAAATAAAGGTATAGGAATAGTGAACACTACAATTTTTAAGTTTGAGACTTTAAAGTTCAACTAAAATTTTTCTAATTCAAATTCAGCATCGTTCCCCGACAATGACGTTAGAAACTTAACATGCACCAAGTGTTGCAAAGCACGAGCGGCTCACACAAGTACACGTGGCATATTAGTAGGACTGGGGTTTGAGTCCAGCTACTGATCGTACATGGAACAAGATGAATTCTACGGAAAAGTTCTATCCTACATTTTTTTAGCCTAAGCCTAAAGAATTAATGTGCATGTTCAATTTTTAAACCTATTCAAAAGTTATGAAAAACTAGTATATCCTAACAAGCAAAAAGATTCTTTTATCAATTTAGAGGTTGAGAATTTCTCTCTTTAATTGATTAAGATATGAATATGACTGAGAATTAGACTAAAAAATTTAAAGTCAATTAGGATAATTTTTTTCCTTTTCCCATGCTAGTGATCTAAGGAAAATTAGCAGCCTTAAGTTTATTTCCCTAAATCTCTTGGACTGCTCACAAGAAAATGTCTCCTAGATGTTTACAGGAATCCAATGACAATGTCTCTATCCCAATGAATTCATGTCATTAACTCTTTTTGTTCTATAAAGAATCCTTCTGGATATCAATATTCATAAAAGATTTTAACAGCCAGTTGGCTAAGATTGAAATTAAATTTCGTTAACAGGTTAACAAAACACTTTTAAACTTAAATTAAAGCTCAAACAATCTCAAATCCCATGTCATATCCAATCTCTATCTCAATTAAGGAGAGAAACAAGAATGCTACTCACTATTCATGACGAATCTCATCAAAATAAATTTAGTTTTTTACATAAACATCAAAAGCAAAGTCTTTACATAGAAAATCTGAATCAAGAACAAGATAAACACACTTATCTCCTCCACAAGTAAGAAGTTTGATGATTTTTCTAACAGTAAACAATCCACACTTTCAATGCTCCTAATTTCTCTTCTAATCTTTTTGCTAATGCTTTGGCCTTCTCCTTCAATTCTACTCTCAAGAATGACAAAAGAGAAATGGTGAAAAGCCCCTCCAAAATCATCTTCAAACTATTTATAATTTTTCTCAACCAACCAAATTTTGAACTACCCCAAACTGCTAAGAGTTGGGTTCTAGCACCAGGGCACTCATAAGTGGCGTTTGGGCACTACCATGCATCAAACTACAATGCCTAGGTGCTAGTATTGTGGAGCCTAGTCACGACAATCTTAGCGCTCAATATACTACTTCGCGATTCCACGCGCTCGGGAATTCTTCCACATATTCAGTGACTAGGCGTTGAAAGACAACACTGTTGTGCTCCGAAGCTCCAAAGCCAGCGCCAAATTTTTAGCTCTCTGTATTTGAACTCCATTAGGGTTGGTTCTAACACCTAGGCGTCGAGTCCTAACGGCGAAACCCAAGAACATTTTTTTCTCCAATTGTGTTTTTCAATCCATTTCGCTTCCTCTTTGTCTTCTTTCTGGTATAACCTACCATGAACAACATAAAACCTGCCTAAAATTTCAGTATCATCACATAAAGTACGAAAATACAAGTAATGACAATGCAAAATTTTCAACATATCATACTACGGCATACATAACCAACTATGACCTGCGCAACCTAAAGCTCATATATCTCCCAACAATGACCTATGCGAATTACGAACATTATTACAACTCATCACTATGACAAATGTGATCAACTACAGCCTACGTGGCTCACAACTCGTGTAGATCCCTACTACGCCCTCTGCGACTGACAGAAGCTCTTGAAGCAACCATCCACAGCTTACATGGCTAAGTACTCCATGACTTTCCACTACGACACATACGATAAACTAGCACTGCAGCTAACATTTATGATAAAATGTTGTTTTCATAACAATATATCCCCTGCATCCTGCTATCGTCGAGAACTACTTTCATTACAATCAGCTAATGATTATTATCGATGAATTACAATTGTACAACTTTGTAACTCTTAACTTCTCAAATTTAGGAGAAAAATGAACCAATATACTTACAATTATAAAGTGAATTATTTTAATTGGGCTAAGCCTCATGATTTTTCTCTTTAGGATTTTCCACGTAAAAGTCGATATGTCTTTTCTTGCTTACTTTTATTCTCTTATCCATGTTTATTGGATCTTTGTACAATATTAAGATACTAAATAATCATTATATTGTCGTGAACCTTCTTACACACTACAAACATTAAAAATTTGAATACATATATAGATCAAAAAATGATTACTCATTAAATTTTTTTTCCTAATATTTATAGGCAATTTAAATATTGAATTTTCACTAATTTTTATTTTTTTATAAAAAAATAATTTTTCAAATATACCAAAAAATAACTTAAGGACAAATGACATGTTATTTTTAATTTATTCATTCATCTCACCTCTTAAATAGTTTTTAATTACTATATACAAACTATAATAATTTAAAAAAGTATCCGGACATAAGTTACCAAAAATGTGTTATGATGAAATATTTAGCAACTCTGAGAAGCACTCGACCACGTTCGCAAAAGTTTATTCCTTGTGCTTCCCTATTTACATTAAGAATCTAATTAAATTATTTATCGAAATAAATTTAAATAAATATTTCACAAAATAAAGCATAAAACCGAAAGATACAAATTTTATAATAAAAAAAATTAAAAATTAAAGATCTGAGCGAATTTACTTTTAATAACTGTTCCGTACCCAGCTGCTTTGGCTTTTTGCTGGCGTTTGGAAACCCATTTAAGTATTAATACAAATTTAAAAGTCTGCCGGCGCCAGCTACCTTTCCCACGTGGCAATACCTTTTTTTAATGAGATATTTAAATTAATTTAATCACAAATTTACAGATATTCATGCAGATACACCCTCAAATGTCATGGACAAAAAATTTCACATCAGTTATATGTAGGGTCGAAAAATAATATTTAAGTCATGAGCTGTCCATCACCCCGAAGAGCTCTTTTAGGAGGTGACGAGTGATATCAGAGCCGATTACTATCTGTCATGTGTGTGGATTATTCATGCTCCAGTGGATCCTCGGTGGAGCCGATCCGTGACGAGGGCGTCAAGCGATTGGGTAGAGTAGAATGTCGCGGACAAAAAGTCTCACATCAGCTAGGTGTAGCGCCGAAAAATAGTATTTAAGTCATGTGCTGTCCACCATCCTGAAGAGCTATTTTGGGAGCTCCCGGCCACGAGGCGAGTCATATTTTTATACTTAACGGACTTTATTACCCCCTACTCAACCTAGTACAACAAGCATTATCTAAAGGGTAAAATAGTCATTAAAAGTAGGGCCAGTCAACTATGTGCTAGCTACAAATTCGGATAAGTCTAAAATACCCCTAACTGCCTCTCTCGCCCGTTAATCTCCTCGTTGTATTTTCAATGACGAGATTGCCCTTTTATAGAAGGAAGTACGTCAGTAAAAGAACTCAAAAGACTATAAAGGGCATATAGTAATTTCACCGGATCCACTTCTTCTCGCATGTGAAGGGTTCGTTTCACTCTTTGTCAGTCGTCGCTGTCGAAAAGATCTCGGGGAGCGATTTCTTTTGGGCTCTTCTGCCGCGTCTCGTACCTGAGACGAAACCCTAACTCTAAATTCTCGGTGACTGACTCAACCCGCCAATCATCAAGTTCTCCGGTGAGGTCGACGGTCTAATAGACTGCAGTTGGAAACTTAGCATTTAGGTTTGGTTTGAGGAGCTGATCAAACCAGAAAGATATCAGCGGAGCTGGCTTATATATCTTATATCTTCTTCGTGCTTTGCTGGCTTTTTCTTGCTGGTGCGAGGAGAGGGAGATCAGGAAGTAGTTGATGTAATAAGAGGTGGAAGAAGGGGGACAAGTGGGGTTAGGGGAAGGGGAATGACAGGATGCTGTAAGGGATGATTGTTTAATAACTGCGTATTTAAAATATCAAGGATTATTATTCAGTTGCTCCGGAGAAAGTAGGATTTCAGAATATTTCCTTAACTAGATACACTGCACGAGAGGTGTTGCAGATATCATCACTCGACGAGCACTTCCTCTGTTACTGTATCTCTCTTTTTCTCGTCCGTCATCTGCTATTGGATTCCTCTGTTTTGCTCCGTCGGGTTTCTCGGCCCTGTCTCGAGTTGTCTTTTTGGGAGAAAACAAAAATATTCCAACTTGTGAGAGGAGGAAAAGCGTGTTGCTTGTTTCATTGCATTGATTTTTTTGCTATTGGAGTTTGTGAGACTTTCCTTCTTTTGAGAAGCCCTTCGCACACGCTGTGTTGCCTCGCTTTCCTATTTTATACTTTCTTTTTTTCTCATCTCGCACACGGGCCAATGCGGCGGGGACAACAGGATTAAGGAAGAGTGGAAGGTGAAAACATAAATATTAATAGATTACCGAAAGGATTTGGGGAGTTGTGGTTGGTTGAGAGTTCTTACGGCCATGGGAACGGAGATTCCTGTGGCGAGGCAGCGATGGTGGCAGACATGGACGGCATGGATTTTGTGGATGATGTTGATGGTGTCTGTCTGGGTGGCAATTCATTGGTACAATCGGGAATCAATCATGACGACGGCCCAGGAGGCCTTGGTTAGTATGTGCGATGAGAGGGCGAGAATGCTTCAGGACCAGTTCGCCGTCAGTGTTAACCATGTACACGCACTTGCTGTTCTCATCTCCACCTTCCATTACCAGAAGAATCCGAGCGCCATGGATCAGGTTAGTTTCTTTCCCTTTCATCTCATATTTACTTGTCACTAAATTCAACTGTAGTTTTTCAGGTATTTCATATCTTTTTTTGGGGTTATTTAGGGTTTTCTTTGCAATTTATTTCGAGCATTTCAGATTTTGGTCTTACAGTTCTCTGCATAGTCATGGTAATTGGGAAAAAGACTCCTAAATTAAAGCTCTAATTTCAATCTGATGTTAATTTCTTCGTATTGTCTTAACTTTAATACGCTTAAAACAAAGCTTTGCAATAATTAAGGCTTATGTGGAATCGTCATGTTTGTAGGTCCTTCCCCTTCTGTGTACGTCCAATATTCCTCTTCGTATTTCCTTGGAGATGGTTGAATCCTTTCGTAGACTTTTCTTCTCATTGTTTTACTGCTCAGTTGGATTGGGGCCTTACTCTCGATTTTTTTTTTCTAAATAAAACTTATTAATTTTTCTTTTTTAATCTACTCACTGTGCTAGATGATGTTTTAATGACGGTTTTCTTATTTCTAGGAATTTATATTGAATGCTGTTTGGTAACAGGTTTTCAGCAAGGATTTCATTGCCAAACAGAAAAAAAAAAAAATTGGAGAAATTAAATCCAACAAAATGTTAAATCATGTTTATTCCCCATTTTTATCTTAAAAACTCGATTAACCAAGTTCGTCTGTTTGGTGGATTTAATTAATTGCAGAGATGCACCAGTTCATTCAATGAGCTGCTGCAATGAACTCTTCCTTTATATGCAGTGGGTCAGTTCCATGCAACTTCCTCACTATTCTTTGTCAACTAGGGTTTAGAGGGGTAGGAGCAGCAAAGGAGATGCGATTAAATACATATTAATTAATAAAAATATATTAATTTTAATTTGTGATTTAAAAATGTCAGCCTTAATATTTAATATTAATTAAGTCAATGTATATTAATTTGAGTAAATTGATATTATTTTATATTTAATTTGATTAATAAAAGTTATTATATTTAATTAAATTAATAAATTACTAAATAATGATTTATTAGAATGTTTTCTTACACTAATTATGATGTTATTAGTTTGATTATGATTGAAAAAAATTTGGTTAAACTTATTGATATTCAATCAAACTAAGTAGATTTAGATGCATTAATTAAAAAACTTAATGCTGCCTTAATAATTAATATTAATTAATAAAAAATTAACTTGAAACAAACTTGTATTATTTGTGCTTTAGTTTGACTAAATATAAGTTATTGTATCCAGCTTAGTAAATTATTAATAAATAATTGGGTTGCTGTTTTATGTTATTTATGATTTAATTAGTTTAATTAATAAAAATTAAATCTTTACTTGATGATTATGATGTTTGTATAAACATGCCAATATAAATTGTAGTGAACACTTATCATACTGAATGATTTTTTTGGATTTATTTTTTCAGGATTATTAAATCTGGATGTATAAGATTTACTAAATTTAGTCTTTTAGTTTAGTTTTACTTATTTTAACCTATGTGGTGCTCTAGGATACATTTGCATTTTACACTGGAATGACTGCATTTGAGCGGCCACTGTTGAGCGGTGTGGCATATGCACAACGAGTCCTTCATTATGATAGAGAAAATTTTGAGAGTCAGCAAGGTTGGACAATCAAAACCATGAAACGTGAGCCCTCACCTGAGCAAGATGAATATGCACCAGTTATTTTTTCACAGGAGACTGTTTCCTATCTAGAGGTCCTGGATATGATGTCCGGCGAGGTATTTTCTAATTGTTGCTCACTTTGCCACTTTTCAAATCTTTTTGTTACTTTATTCTTCTGTTTTAAATTGTTTCCTCTTTCACTGCAGGAAGATAGAGAGAATATATTGAGGGCTAGAGCTACTGGCAAAGCTGTTCTTACAAACCCTTTTAGGTTACTGGAATCGAATCATCTCGGTGTAGTTCTCACATTCCCAGTCTATCGAATGGGACTTCCTGCAGAGGCAACTGTTGAAAACCGTGTGGAAGCTACGGCAGGGTGAGATTTTGTGCTTGCAAAAGTTCTGTTCTAGAATGGTCGCCTTTGATTTCTAGATTTTTGCTAGATTTTTTGATTCAAATCAACAGCAATTTAAGTTATTTTATTCTGTTATTTGTACTTAAGAAAATGATTGATTGTTTTCTGACTGGATTTCTGTGCTCGTGATTGTGTTGTGCAGATATCTTGGTGGAGCTTTTGATGTTGAATCACTTGTGGAGAATTTATTGAAGAAACTTGCCGGTAATCAGGATATAGAGGTGAATGTTTATGATGTTACCAACATTTCTGATCCCTTGATTATGTATGGAGCCCAAAATTCAGAAGGTTATAAACCATTGTCTCATGTGAGTATGCTAGATTTTGGGGATCCATTCAGGAAGCACCAAATGGTGTGCCGGTAAGTCCAGTACATATTATACTTTTACCAAGAATTTTAATGGATAAAATTTAATTTTTTGATCTTTTTCACTGACAGTTATAGCCAAAAACCTCCCATCCCATGGTCAGCAATCACCTCACCATCTGGTATGGTTGTGATCTTAATGTTAGTAGCCTATATATTGTATGCTGCTCAGAAGCGCTATGTCATGGTTATGGAAGATTGTAGAAAGATGGAGGAGCTGAAAGTTCAAGCTGAAGCTGCTGATGTTGCAAAATCTCAGGTTTGAAATTTAATCTTTTTTGGGTGATAGTACCAATTTTTTCTGAACATTATGGTCCTGCTTTCTTGTATGTAGTTTCTTGCAACTGTTTCGCATGAAATCAGAACACCTATGAATGGTGTCCTTGGTATGATTCACCAATATCAATACATCATATATTCTAAAAATATCTGATCTTTTTCCTTTTTGCTAAAAAATGTGCTTTATGTTCCAGGCATGTTGGATATGCTTTTAGATACGGATTTGAATTTAACTCAAAAAGATTATGCCCAGACTGCTCAAGTTTGTGGGAAAGCTTTAATAGCATTGATCAATGAGGTTCTTGATCGGGCGAAAATTGAAGCTGGCAAGTTAGAGATTGAAGCTGTACCATTTGACCTGCGCTCCATTCTTGATGATGTTGTTTCGTTGTTTTCTGCAAAATCAAGGGAGAGGGGAATTGAGGTTAGTCCAGTTTAGCGTGATTATCTCTAGAAACTATCTGGTGAACTATCTGGTGATTATTAGAAGATATTTTTTTTTTTTTAATTTTAATACTCAAACTAGTTATCTGCTCTTCGTTTTTACTTCTCTTCTATCTAGTTCCCACTTTGTGTCATTCTTAATGCATTTTTTTAACTCACATGGTAATGCTGTATTATTAATATGTAGCTTGCTGCATTTGTCTCGGATAACGTTCCACAAGTTCTAACTGGTGACCCAGGGAGATTCAGACAAATAATTACAAATCTTGTTGGAAATTCAGTAAAGGTAACAATTCTTTTGTGTTCTTGGTTGTTTTTTTCCTACCTCTTAATTTAGTGCTTATAATTAATCGAGTTGTGATTTTTGGAGCTTTTTATGTCTTTGGAAATTTAATTAAGTAAAAACTTAATGCTCATGCAAAGTTTGCATGGTTTATTTGTTTCAAGTGCAAATTCTAATATCAAATTATTTGTAATCTTTAACAGTTTACAGATCGAGGTCACATCTTCATCCAAGTTCATTTAGCGGAGCACTCTAATATGCCAATTGAGGGTATGCTGTGCTCCTCCGCAAATGGAAAGGTGGATGAAGTTGAGACCATGTCTGGTGGCACAGTATTCAATACTTTGAGTGGATATAAAGCAGCTGATAATAGGAACAGCTGGGAGAATTTTAAGCAATTACTTTCAAATGAAGCATCTCATGCTTCTGTCTCTCTAAATGGGCTAGCGAACAAAAAATATCCTGAAAGTGTTAATTTGATTGTAAGTGTTGAGGATACTGGGATAGGAATCCCATTACGTGCCCAAGACCGGGTTTTTACACCCTTCATGCAGGCTGACAGCTCTACATCCAGAAATTATGGTGGAACTGGTATTGGCTTAAGCATAAGTAAATGCCTAGTTGAACTAATGGGGGGTAGAATCAATTTCATAAGCAAGCCTAATATTGGAAGTACATTTACCTTTTCTGTTGTCCTCCAACAGTGTACTAGAAATGCAGGAGGTGGTCCAAAGAGATCTCTATCGGAGGATTTACCAGCTTGTTTCAATGGATTGAAAGCACTTTTAGTTGATGAAAGGTCAGTCAGAAGTGCTGTGACGAAGTATCATCTCCAAAGGCTTGGCATAAGCGTTGAAATTGCAAAGAATACCAAGATGGCTCTCAACGCTTTAACTCAAAAAAATGGCTGTTTGATGAACGGGTAAGCTGTTTGTGCAAGCAGTTTACCTCAAATGTTTTCAGTGGTTTCGTTCTCTTAAATGTTAACGTCTAATATGACTTTTCAAGTAATATTACTACGCTATGATTATATTTTCAATAGTTCTCCATTTTTAATATTGTACATCATGCTGTAAATATGTTTGATGTATTTAAGTTCAAGCATGTGCGCTTATATGGCCCTATCATTGTTATTATACAGGAAATTGCCAAAGGTTTTATTTATTGAGAAAGATTCTTGGAACAATAGTGATGTTTGCTTGTATGACCATTTTCTTGAGCGGAAGCGAACAGGTCATATACATGAAGTACCTAAGGTTATTCTTTTGGTTATCTCTGAATGTGATAAAGCAGTGGGTGATTCTCTTGTGGATATGGTCTTAGTAAAGCCTCTCAGAGCTAGTACAGTGGCAGTATGCCTTCAGCAAGTGCTTGGAATAGATAACCAGCCAGGAAAAGAATTACCTAAGGGTGCTGTTTTCTTACGTAGCCTGCTGGCTGGGAAGAATATATTAGTGGTTGATGATAATAAGGTAAATCTTAGAGTGGCTGCTGCGGCTCTAAAAAAATATGGAGCTAAAGTTGATTGTGCTGAAAGTGGGAAAGAAGCTCTTTCACTACTTCAACTGCCACACAAATTTGATGCTTGTTTCATGGATGTCCAGATGCCAGAGATGGATGGGTATGAAAAACTTTAACTTACTACTGATAACTTCCCTTATCAATGTTTTTGCATTTTATGTAATGTATATTTTTTAGTCATCATATGTCATGGTAAACAATTAATATTTATTTGTGAGTAAAAATACAATTATTAGAAACAATAATGCATATAGTTAAAGGTTAAGATTAAGTGTTGTCTTTAGTTCAATCCATAAAGTCTGGTGTGGTAGTAAGGAGTGCTATTAGTGGTTGGTTATTAAGTAGGGATAATTACATACATGACACCAGAAACATTGATACTTACAAATTAACCACCCAGATGATTTGTTTGAACTATCGAACTGGTGTATTTATGTGTGCCACAATCTAACCTTTGAGAATTTGATTAAAATGAAACATATGGGTTGGGGTTTTACCATGAATTTTTATATTTGAGTGAGAATTTGAAAAATGGATGAATAAAGGTGGTTGATTTGTAAATAACAAGTTCTGGGTGGTATGTATGTGACTGTCCCTTTTATTAAGTAATGCAGATAATGAGATTTCAAGTTATATTAAAATGCTTAAGGTATTATTTTATTAATTTAATAGACGAATGCAGTCAAGTTCCAATATAAAATAGTTTGCTAGTTTGGAATCCAATGTTTTTTTTAATCTTTATTTTCAATAACTTCTATTAAGGTAACCTGAAGAGATTTTTTTTTTTTACTATTCATATTTGATACACCATCAAATATTTTTTATCTTGCACGAATCTCAAGGCATTTTTTATCAAAAAATATTCTAGATTCAAATTCAAGATCGTCGAAGGCCCCAATTTCAGGAAGTTTATAATCAAACCGATCTTCTCAACAAGACGAACTCAATGATACCATAATTGGTTTAATCTAAGTCCAACCAAGCATATATCAAGCTAAGACCATTAAAGCATATTTGGAGGTTTTTTATTATGGTCAAATGAACTTTGAATTTGACATATTTATATTCAAATCTAGCATCTCAATGAGAGGATTCTGATTAGCCTAAATTTGCTTAAGTTTGACGTCACTAAGACCCTCAAATCATTAAAATAGACTTATAATCGAAAAGTTCAATATGAGTCGTTCGATTAGGTAGTTTAGGAAGTTATGAATTTTATTCTTCAAAAGCCTATAAATAGACCACCTCTTTTTACTTAGATTGATGAATCAAAAGAATTCTAGAGCCTTTTCTGAAGAGAAGACTCGGCGATAACCACTGTTGTCGGCTACCTTAGACCACTACTGGCAATCACTACCCGTCACCAACTACTAGCAGTCACCAAACTGGTCGTCACCTTCCCTTATTTGCAAACATCATATTTTGAATACAATTGTTGTGCCTAAAACCTATATTGAAGAACCAGCAATAACCACAAGCCTCTGTAGTCATTGATCACCGTTGATTATAGCCTTTCAGCCGTTGTGAACCATCGTTACCCATCACTGCCCACCAGCTCAACCACCAGCCGCCGAAAATAACTGTTTGCAAATGCCATAGTTTGAATATGACCATTGTGCCTAACACTTGTATTGAAGGCATGATGATAACCATCAAACTTTGCAATCACCAACCACCGTCGACTACCGCTCGTCGACCACTTTCGAACACTGTCAGCCATCACTGACCACGGTTGTCGACCGTAGGCCACCAACAACCCCTATTTGCAAACTTCATAATCCGAATACAGTCATTGTGCTTAACACCTATATTGAAGACCCGATGATTAACCAACGGCCTCCGTAACTGTCAACAACCATCGACCACTGACGACTATCACTGCTGACTGTCATTGTTTGTCGTCGCTTACCTTTGGCTGCCGCCAACCATTGCTTGCAATGTCATTATCAAAATACGACCTCTGTAACTAAGTAATGCTATTACATCAACCATCTACGGCCTTTTCGACCAACTTTTGTTGTTACAATTTTCAAATATGGTATATTTGGCCAACTACCAATATTATAGTCACTAAATACAATATTTATGACCAACTACTTTATTTGTAACCACTAACCACAAATTTTGTGGTTGATTACCACTATTATAGTTTTCAATTACAACTTTTGTGGTTGGTTGACTACAACCTTCATGGTCAATTATTGTCTTTGTAGTAATCAACTAGAAGTTTTGTGGCTTACTACTATTGTTACAACTTCCAATTACGGCCTTTGTGGTTAACTAACACTATTGTAGTCATTAACTAGAGCTTTTGTGAACTGACGCTATTGTAGTTACTACTACGGCATATGTTTTCAACTCTCACTATTGCAACTATCAACTATATCCTATGTGGCTAACTATTACTATGAATTTCAACTACATCCTCTGTAGTCAACTGACATTATTGTAGTCACCAACTATAGCCTATGTAGTTAACTGGCGATATTGCAGTCATCAACTACGGCCTATGTAGCCAACTATTATTGTTATAACTTTCAACTACGATCGTGTGGCAAACTGATGATATTGTTGTCACCAACTACGACCTATGTGGCCAATTGTCGATATTATTGTCACCATATATGACCTATTTAGCCAACTACTATTATTATAGTTTCCAACTATGGCCTCTATAGCCAACTTATGATATTGTTGTGTCACCAACTATGGCGTATGTGGCCAACTGATGATATTGCAATCACAAATTATGATCTATGTGGCCAACTACCACTATTACAACTTTCAACTACGACCTCTATGACCAACTGATACTATTGCATTCACGAAGTATGATTTCTGTGACCAACTAATGATATTGTAGCTTTCAACCACGGCTTTCATGACCAATTACTACCTTGCAACAACTAATTATTGTCTTTGGGCTGACTATTACTGTTACAACTTCCAACTAAAGTCTGGCCAACTGTTGCTATTGTAGCCACCGACTGCGGTCTTCATGACCAACTATATTTGTTGTAGCTCTATTGCGGCTATTATAGCTAAATAACTATTGTACATATGTGATTTTCAGTTTTATAGTTTCATCTTTAATTCAAAAGAAGAGTGAACATATGTACTTACAATCATGTAATAGATTTCTTTGAGCAAATCAAGTTTTTTACCTTTCTGAGGGTTTTTCCACTTAAAAAATTTTGGACATCCTCTCTTACTATTTTGTTATTATCTATGCGTGTTGGATCTTCGTGCAACGCTAAGATGTTAAATTATCACTCTACCATTGTGAATATTCCGACACACAACAATATCTGTATTATTGTTTTCTCCGATTGTGATTCTCGGAAAGGAGTCATAATTAATATCATTAAACCAAAACCTGAGAATGCAGATCATCCATATGTTGCCGCGTGGCTAGTTGCTTATGTTGATTTCTACATGTGAAAAGGTTATCAATCTTTAAGGTAGTATACATGTGAAATAATACTATGATGAATGATTAGTAGTCAAATCATAATCAAATTTCAAAGTCTTAGTTGAGCACTAATTGAGTACTTAATACAAAAATAGACAACAGTAAGGTAAAATATGAGCATGGAAGGTTTGATAGATACAGTGCGTTAATATTTTTAACTTCTTTAATTCTAAAAGGTATTATTGACATAGCATGCAAAATAAAGCACATTAAATGGTTCTTACAACTTGAAAAAATTTTCAAATAAAGCATGCCGGTATAACTTGAATTACTTTGCACAGTAGGATTTCTCATTGAACTGACTCAAGTTAATATGTTATCACTTATCATGAAAATCAGGGTATATCAATTGATGCTTTCATAGTAAGTAAGAAAGCATGTTCAATTGATATAAATTACCCGCATATCATGATTATCATTAATTAGGCTTAAGATAGTGTATAATCAAGCTTAATTATCACAGATCCCTCGTGTTTTTGCTATGCTCTACGTAGGTCATATTTTAAAAAACCTTCCACTTTTGTCTTGGTGTTTGGTTCTGCATCAAACTAGTCCTTCCATTAATGGAATCTGCATTTAAGTGAAAAAAGATGTTAATGCCCCGCATTTTACCCATGGAGCACTTTTTTTCCTTCTATTGCAAAACTTGCATCTTCTAGCACTCTTTTCCTAATTTTGGCTATCTTTAATGATCTCTGTAAATTGTCTCCAACTATCCCACTCACCTCCCCACCAAAATGGCATTGTCCTCCTTTCCCATCGCCTCCAGCCCTCTAATTTCTTCTTTAAATGGCATTGTCCTCCTTTCCCATCGCCTCCAGCCCTCTATTTCTTCTTTTGTCTCTCTCTCTCTCTCTCTCTCTCACACACACACACACACAAATTTTGATAGACTAAGTAGAATCTTCTCCAAAAATTTCGAATTTTAGGGAGCTCTTCAAACTGTCATTGAGAGAATGATCTAACCCTAAAATAAGAAAAAAAATCATTGAGGGTGAGTATTTTTGGTCAAAAGTAGTTAATTTTAGTCAAAATTTTAGTAACAATGTTATTTCTTAATGGAGTATTTGATGTTTTTAGGAATGATGGTTATTTCTGAAGATTGAAAATTAGGTTAGAGGATCATAGTGATCTCATTATGAACTAGAGACCAGAATGGTTAACTTCTGAAGACGTGAAAATATGTATGTTGCCTAGACTTAAGGAATGTGCTTAATATTTACGAGGGTGTAAACTTGTTGAGTTGAGCTCGAGTTAGGATTAATCGAGCTAAGCTTGATTAACTTGTACTTGGCTCGACGTAATGCTCGATCTCAATTCGATCTCAGATTATGAGCTTTAGCTCGACTTGAGAGACAAAAGTTAGGCTCGAGCTCCGCTCCTTTACTCATTTGGAATCGAAAAAAAACATTCAGCAATTTACCTTCACATTGGCGTCTCCAAGGGGAAAGAACGTAGGTTGCATCGCTACGATTTGTTCCTGCCATTTTTCAATGGAGTGCTTTGATGCTTTCCTTCGGAAATTTGTCTGGGGAAATTCATTTTGGAGTCTCTCTAGGGGTTATTCGCGAATGAGTGCTAGTAGGGTTTTATAAATTAATCGAGCGACTCAATTAATTCTCAAGGCG